TCCACCTCACCCATCCATCTATCCACTCATCCACCCATCCATCCACCCATCCATCCATCCATCCACCCACCCATCCACCTCACCCATCCATCTATCTACTCATCTATCCATCCATCCATCCGTCCGTCCGTCCGTCCGTCCATCCGTCCATCTGTCCATTCATCCACCCACCCACCCACCCACCCACTTCATCCACCCATCCATCCATCCATCCACCCATCCATTTCTCATTACTAGACACATGCTATATGCTACACACACGGTATGGGGAAACACAGTGAAACAAAAACTAAGTTCCTAGCTTCAGTGAACTGACATCTATGTGTGAAGGCAGATATACATAGGTAATAAAAAAAAACTGCTAAGAAAAAGAAGGAAAGCAGGGCTAGGGGATGAAGAGGGAGGATTGTTAAGATGGTCAAGACAGGGCTCTGTGAGGAAGTGGCACTGGAGAGTCACTGGATGAGATGAGAGACTGAGACCCAGGAAGGTCTGGGGAAAGGGCTTCTAGACAGAGGCAGCAGCAAGTGCACAGGCATGGAGGAAGACAAGATGGCTGCTGTGGCTCCAGCAGCAAGAGAGGAGGGAGATGATAGGAGATGTGGGTGGAGAGAGGGAAATGGAAATGGCCCACTGGGTCCACTTCAGAACCCTGGGGCGGGGGAGGGGCTTGAGCAAGGGAGGGGCCTGACAGCATTTGCATTTAAAACATATTGGATATTGTAGAGAAAAGTCAGGAGTGGGCAACAGTGGAAGCCAGAAAGCTAACGATCTAGGCTACAGGACAGATGACAGTGGCTTAACTTAGAGTGGTGGCCAACAGATATGTGAAGAAGAGGCTGTATTCAAGGACATATTTTGGAGGCGTAGCTAACTGTCACAACAGAGAAATTAAAGATGGCCCCTAGGTTTCAACTGAACAACTGGGTGTATGTGGTTGCCATTTGTTGAGACAGGGAAGATGTAGGGAGGGCTGAGTTTGGGGAAAAGTAAAAAAGTGTGTTGATAACATCTAAGTGGACATGCTTAGTGGGCAGCTGGAGACACATGCTAGGGCTGGGAGGAGTGACACTGTTTCTATATCACATCACACCGCCTGCCTCAATCTTCCAGGGATGCCTCATCACTTTCAAGACTAAACCTGAGCTCCAAGCTCTGCAAGCTGTGCTTCTGCAGCCTCATCAACAGCCTCAGAACACACCAAAACCTCGTCCAGTGCAGATGCATTTGCATCTCTTGCTCCATCTCTCTCTGGCGCCAGCGTCCCCAGGGTACTCCACTAATAAGGGGGTGAACTTAGACAAGGTGCCTAAGCTCTCCAAGCCTTGGTTTCCTCACCTGGAAAATGAGGCTAATATTACTACCTACTTCACAGGATTGTTATGGGGATTAAATGAGGCAATATGAGGCTTAGTGTTTACAACATCACCTGGCATAGACAAAGCACATACAAGTAATTAAGTATCATTATAATAATACATATCATGCTCTTGTGTAATTATTTTCACTGGAAAATATGAGCCCTTGAGTAAAACCACTGAGCCTTTCATCTGTGCTCTGGCACACATTAAACTCATTAATGGTTTCTGACATGAATGAGTTAAAGAATGAAACACAGCACTCACGGGGCCATAGCAGGACCGTGAAATGAATCAGCAGGTTCTTCAGTGGGTTTTCTGTATTTAAAAGGTATTCTCTCCGGGTGGACAGGATTTGTCTGATCCACTACTCATCAAACGAAGAAGGCCTGGGTTGTTCTACATTCTACTTTGGTTACTGTTCAGGGAAAGTCACATCAGTACCTTTGGATCAGGAAGGCATGGTCCAAAGGCCTCCAGTAGAAGAGTCTCTTGTCTCACAGCCAGTTCATAGTCTGCAAAAGACAGCTTCCCATCATGGTCATGATCCTGGGGGGATGAGAAACATGTGAAGCAACACGTAAAACGATTACCGTAAACACATGCTCTTCATAGTCAAGTGTCAATTTTTTAAAATGTGCTAGGCTAGGCATGGTGGCTCAAGCCTGAAATCACAGCACTTTGGGAGGCTAAGGCGGGGTGATTCCTTGAGGCCAGAAGTTTGAGACCAGCCTGGGCAACATAGTGAGACTTCATCTCTATTAAAAAAAATTAGCTGGGCATGCTGGTGTGCACCTCTAGTCCCAGCTACTTGGGAGGCTGACGCAGGAGAATTGCTTGAACTCAAGAGTTTGATTATGCAGTGAGCTGTGACCACACCACTGCACTCTGGTCTGGGTGACAGAGTGAGACCCTGTCTCAAAAAAAAAAGAAGTGCTAGAAAAGTAAGAGGTTAGGTGGTGAAATTGAAAAGAACTATTAATTTTATAATGAAGAGCATAATTTATGTGTTTTCTTTAAGCAAGCAGGAAACTGAAAGTTATAATTTGAATTCTTATTTTTAGCTCATATCTGGCCCACAAATTTTAATATAAAACTTGACATTACCCATATTTACCATTTTCTTAAGTGTTATTTCAACCAAATCTTTAATGCCTTCATCAGGGTCTTCCTCAGATGGCTGTTTGAGAAGGCTGTTCTTCAACATGTGAAACATTTCCTCCTTTGAAATGAATCCGTCACCATTCAAATCAAACACTTCAAAGCAATCTTTTTTAAAAATAAGAAATTATGAATTTGATGCTATCAGTAAGGTAATATTTTCTCTGGTAAAATTTTCAGGGCCAAGTTCTATCTTGATCCTGAAACAATCCCATAGGCCTTAGTGCAGCCTGATTTCCATAGTGAGTGCCAATATATACTAGGATATATTCAATAATCCTTAGAAAACATTTCCTTACTCTCAAGTACGAAAAAGCATACCAAGGAACAGTAATTTGAATATCTTCACCCTGAAACTCTTGGAAAACTGATTGAAATATGACTCATAAGGAGAGTTCATCAGAATTAATTGAGTTAATTAATAATAAGAACACATATCAATATTCTCCAGTATTACTGTTACAATTCAAGTACTGAAATCTGTCAAAAGCTTAATATATAAATGTGTATGTACACAATTAACATGTGTAGTAATAACTGTGGAGTCTTCCTTGGCATAAATTACTCCTCAGAATCACTTGATATTTCTTAACTTTCTTTCACATTTCATTGACTTGAATTCATTCCATAAAACAGGCTACTGGGATCCAAATCAACTAACCAGCCAACCAACAAACCCACTTCACTGGCTGGGTTGAAGGACACTGATTTAAGTGCCTTAGATAAGTAATTCACATTGTGCAAACCATTAGGACAACCTTCAATCTTACATTTCATTTTTTCTTCCAAAGATCCGCGAAGAAACAGTGATAATCCATGAACCCACTCCGATACATTTACACAGCCATCGTTATCTTTATCAAAACCTCGGAATACTAAACGGAGAGAGGTTAAATGTAACACCTGTGCTGCATGGTAACTCTCAGTAAATTATCTACACTGGCATCACTCACTTTTAAAATTAAGAGAACACTTCAGCTTGTATGGTCCAATATTCTCATTTGACAAAACAGGAAACTAAGACATCATCATATCATGAAACTCTTTTATTAAACATTCAATTTTTAAAATGTGTTTGTGGGAACAAATACAGTTCTCAATGTCTAAATATATTAATCATTAATTAATAATAAATATGTTGGTATCAAATATATTGGTCATGTTAATTAGATATGTTAAATATACTAATAAAAATAAAATATTCTATATTTTTGTTACTTAAGTCATTACATGATGCATAGAATTATATCTTGTCACTGATATATTTTGTATGATGTAAGTAATTTAAATGTCCTTTAAAAACTATTCTATTTATTAGCTTTATTAAGTACAAATAGAGATGCTTTGGGTTTTCTGATATAAAGTAAGGGAAAGGTAGTTAGTCAACATGACTTTGCCTTCTTCTTAAATACACAAAATAAAGCCAATATTACCTCTTTTCTATGATCTTTTCAAAATTAAATTTGTATATTACAGCGGCACGGGGAATGCAAAACACTAAGCTTCCTACGAAGAGGATGTCCAAATGCCAAACCTTTTTTTTTTTTTTTCTCGTTATGGCTGGATTTGGCTAATTTGAATCTTCCGTGTCTCTTACCTCTGTCCATAATCATGTCATCTGTCATTCCAAATGTCACATGCAGGATGTTTCGAAAGGCGTTACGATCCAGTCCAATAATCAGACCTTGCCTCTCCACTCCTCCCACCAAGTTATAAAAAAGCTTTATAAGACAGTTCACTTCAAATTTATTAACTGAAAGAATAAAATAGAGATAACAAAAATGAATCTTTAATCTTTAAGTTCTAACTTAAATTTTGCATCAATAAGTTTACAAACAACATAAAAGACATCAAATAGGTAATTGTCAATAGAAGACTCTCTTGTTTTGAGATTCACGACTCTTAATAGAAATAGAAGAAGAAGCATACCTTCCAAACAGGATTTCCCACGTTTAGGGGAAAAATATGATAGCATTAGCCAAGTTATTAGACTAATGATGGTAGCGTCGGATTCTAAACTCTACAAGGCTGGTAGAAATATGACTCAAAATAAGAATGGTAAGGTTTAAGAATGGTAACCTTTTCCCAGTATTTATAGGCATTCATGAATTTACAACTTCTTCTCCCTGGAAAGAGATGTCAGCTTCATGAAAAGTAGGTAACAATTTTCATTTCACTTTAGCCTTCATGAATTCATAAGCCAGATTTTGGAAACCAGAGTCACTAGTTTTCCAATAAAAAAGCTTTACAGTATATTCTAGCACCCAGTATGGCTCTTGTTGAGGATTATGTAAAAATTAATATGCAACTATTCAGTAATTGTTTGGAGGAAGGAAATTTTTTTAAAGGATATATACACATAGATGTTGCTCATACACATTACTGTAGAAAGAGCCATGGTTATAAATACCGAGTTGATTATTTGTGTTTCAATTCCCATTTGAGAATGTAGGTGGAAGGGTTATTGGCTGGTCTTGAAAATATAAAAGCCCAAATACCAAGTATGGGCGAAAGTTGGGGAAAATTTATTTTGAAACCAGACAGAACTATGATTGAGCATTTAAAAAAAAACAAGGACAAAACTTGTGTGTGTATAACAGAAGACAGCATCTAGGAATGGAAAAATCACACCTCATCTTAGAGGTCAGTACAGGCTTTTGTGGGGTTTCTGGTTTTGAGAACAACGCTTAAAGAGAAACACTGAAAACTTAGGGAAAAAAAGGATTCAGTAAATAAATAGTAGGAAATAATATAATGGTTATGATTTTAAAAACAGCTGTTAGTCACTGTGGAAAACAGTAGGATGGTTCCTCAAAAATTTAAACACAATTATTGTATGATCCAGGAATTCTACTTCTGAGTACATACTGAGAAGAACTGAAAGCAGGAACCTGTACAACAACGTTCATAGAGGTATTATTTAGAACAGTCAAAAGACAGATGCAAGAGTCCATCAATGGAGGGATGGACAGACAAAATGTGGCATATTTATACAATGGAATATTATTCAGCCCTGAAAAGGAAGAAAATTCTAACAGATAAATGAAAACTTATGGACACTATGCTAAGTGAAATAAGCCAGACACAAAAGAACACATATTGTATGAGTCCTTGTATATGCGGTACTTAGAGTAGTCAGATTCATAGAGACCAAGCAGAATGGTGGTTGCCAGGTGCTAGGAGGAGGAAGGAGTGGTGAGTTAGCGTTTAATGGGTAGAGTTTCTGTTGGGTACGATTAAAAAGTTCTGGAAGTGGATGGTGGTGTTGGAAGCAGAACAGAATGAAACAGAACAATGTGAATGTACTTAATGCCATGGAATTAAGCACTTAAAACGTTCAAAATAGTAAATTTCACGTTTTATGTAAACACACACACACCACACCCTTCTTAAAAAGCAAGAGCTGTTAGTGGTTGGGGAAGAAAAGCCGCATGAAGAATGACGTACTCTGTTCATGTATATAAAATGCTGGCAGATGGGATGTTGGTTAGCCATTTTTCTATCTCAGCTGAAATAAAAACTTTTTTAAAAATCAGTTTAATTTGCTACCCAAAAGATCAAAGATTAGCCATAAGAAAATTTTTATTGCTAAATATTTCTTAAATTCTAGAATTCAATATTAAATGAAACTGAAGAAAATTCAAGAAGAGATTTTCATCTTCTTGGAATGCTCTAAATATGTCCTGCAGAACATATCTACAGAATGGTGCATGAACTAGATGCCCTCTTCAGATCTTTTACTCTTCTTTGATTCTACAAAATTTATCCATTGAATCTTGATAGGTCTATAGTCTTGCAACTAAAACAAAATTTGACTTTAGGGGAAACTTCTTCTGTTCAAGGAAATTTAAAATTATTATAATGCCCATGACTTGTAACTATTTCTATAGACTTTAATAATCATCTGCGTTTGTAAGACTCATTAAAATTGTTTTATGTAAAGAAAAAAATCAATCCCAGCACTTTGGGAGGCCGAGGCGGCTGGATCACGAGGTCAAGAGATCGAGACCATCCTGGTCAACACGGTGAAACCCCGTCTCTACTAAAAATACAAAAATTAGCTGGGCATGGTGGCACGTGCCTGTAATCCCAGCTACTCAGGAGGCTGAGGCAGGAGAATTGCCTGAACCCAGGAGGCGGAGGTTGCGATGAGCCGAGACCGCGCCATTGCACTCCAGCCTGGGTAACAAGAGCGAAACTCCGTCTCAAAAAAAAAAAAAAAAAAAAAAGAAAAAAATCAAAAGAGTAGACTTTTTCCTGCTATATTTTTACTCATCTTTTAAAATATACACTCACCTTTTGACTGTTCACAGAATGATTCTTTGCAATGCATTCAAATTTACTGAACAGAGACTAAATAAATTCAAACTTACGTAAAGGGACAAAATCAGTATTGTGTACAGCAGCAATTGCATTGTTTTTGAATATTTATCAAAAATGTTTACTAGATGTTTCAAAAATACCTATTTTTCTCCCAGAAATGAAAGTGTTTTAAGAAAAACAAAAAAGGAACAAAACTCTCATCGGAGTATAAGTTATAATAATACCTTAAATTACAGGATATTTTTCCTAAAAATTTTAAGATGCTTATACACACCATAACGTTCATTTATGTCACCATCCCACTAAGAGAGCATTTCTTACCAGTTATTAATCAGATACTAATGGTGATTAGAATGCACTAGATCTCATAATCTCTAAAACTACATCAACAGGTTTATTGCTTCTTCTTTGAGCAACAGGGTGTTTGGGGGATTGTTCTTCAAGTGGCTAGCAGTTTTGCAATCCGCACACAACTTCTAAGTTTGCTCAACAGGGAATATCTTCCTCATCTCAACCACATCCACGGCTTCCCTTGCTCAAGTGCAATTCTGTTTTTCAATCTGAATACAATCTCAACATTTCCTATGAAATTCTAGGACCACCCTTTCAAATGCGAGATTAGAGCAGGCGCCTTCAATAAGGCAATACGGTTGTGTTGAAAGCCTCCTTTATCTTTCAACACCACGGGCCACTGGAAAGTGGGAGTCTGATGTTTGGAACCATTCTTTACCACGTGTTTAGTTGCGCTGAAGTCTGGTTTCCAAACAAATCTCCTTGCTCTGAGGCACAGATGCGATGACACGACTCATCTCTCCTAAAGATGATCAGAGGTTGAGCACCGTTTTCTCCTGTGGGTCTCTTGGCAAACTTCCAGAACTTGGACCTGCGGGTATATGTGCGAGCTAGAAAGCAAGGTGGGTGCCCGATCTACGTCGGTGGTGCTACTTTTCTTAAGACCAGTGGGTTTTAGCATTTATTTTACACCTCCCTTAGGCTAACACCACAAGTTTCTATCACGTAAAAGAAGAGGCTTGGAGAGGTAAGTTCACGTGTGGGAGTGTAGGTAGCACTAGAAGCGTAGGCCTGGGTTCCTAAGTTCCTGGGCGTTGGAGCCAAAACCAAGGAGCTAGCACCCCGGGATTCCCTCCCTGCTTCTGCATAAGGGGCGGTAGCCCACAGAGGCCCAGGCTGCGGGAAGCGCGCACAACTGCGGCCCTTAGCACCGGGTGGGGTCCCGGCCCGGCCCAGGAGTCTCGTCTTGTCCAGCACTAGAGTCTTACTTACAGTGCTTGCAATTTTTAGTTAAGGTGTCCGTCAGCTTCTGCAGCTTCTTGCGGTTCATGTCTGGCGCCCACGGAACCGGGCCGCGGAGGGGATCTCGGGGCGCTCGGCTGCCGAGACCCTCGAGGGAACCCCGCGAGCCCTGGGGCTGGGGCAAAGGGTGAGGTCTCTGTCAACTAGCGCGTGCGCGGCCCTAACAGACAGCGTAGCCATGGCAACGGCTCTGCCCGCCGCCGATTGGCTCCCAGGCTCCCCGCCGCGTGACCATGGCAACAGCCGGGCCTCGCCCATTGGCTCCGCGGCCGCGCGCTCTGGGTCCCGGGTGAGTGGTGCAGCCGGCAGGTCCCAGCCGGGCGCTTTGTGGGCTGCGTTCTGCTGCTGACTTTGGGGTTAAATGTTCAGTTGTCTCTGGCTGCTGAGTTCACAGCCTCTTTGCTTTGCAGTGTAAATCATTAAAATCTGAAATATGGTGTGCACGCTGTGTGAGGGGTGGTGAGCGTCACCCCTCGAGGGGAGGCCTAAGACCTTGGCCGTCCTGGGGGGCTGGAGCAGCGTCACGACATAGCAAGGGTGCTGTCCGGACGGCTGTCAGCCTGGTGCAGGACGGCGAGGAGCCCCTGCTTAGGCTGCCCGCCTGGTGCGGTAGCCGGGGGCAGTCTGCCAGCTGAGGTCTTCAAGTTTTCAGTAGTGTTTCTGAGAGCAAGGGGAACCTGGAATGCAGTCACGGCTTGCCTAGGGAGGGGGATGCGTTCTGAGGTCACTAGGCGATGCCATCACTGTGCACACATCACAGTGCACGGACGCAAACCTACACGGCCTCGCCTACTGCACTACTGCACGCCGGGCTGTGCCGGACAGCCCCCCTGCTTCTGGGCTGCACCCCTGCACAGCAGGTCCCCCGTGGAGTGCTGCAGGCAGCTACAACAGAGGGCTTTATATATGTATTATATACAAAATATTTTTATTTATTTATGTATTCATTCATTCATTTTTTTGTTTGTTTGTTTTGAGACTGAGTCTGGCTCTGTCACCAGGCTGGAGTGCAATGGCGCATTCTTGGCTCACCGCAACCTCCGCCTCCCGGGTTCAAGCGATTCTTCTACCTCAGCCTCCCGAGTAGCTGGGACTACAGGCACGTGCCACCACACCCAGCTAATTTTTGTATTTTTAGTAGAGACGGGGTTTCACTACATTGGCCAGAATGGTCTCGATCTCTTGACCTCAGGAGATCCACCCGCCTTGGCCTCCCAAAGTCCTGGAATTACAGGCGTGAGCCACCACGCCGGGCCCAGTGTTATATCCTATGGGACCACTGTCCTAATGCTGTCTGACGTTGATCTAAATGGCGCTATGTGGGGTGTGACTGTACGTTTTTTCTTTTCCCATTCCCTCATCTTACTCTCAAAAGGTGGAGGTTGTCTGTGGAATCTGAGGAGAGCCACCGGGAACTTTGATGCTGGTTAAATAGGCATTCCCCCCAGTGAAAACAAACTGACAACTACCCCTTGGGTGTGGGGTACAGCCCAATCTTGCTTTTCTGGTAAATATCTCAGTAACCTTGGTCCTTTACTTATTTGAAAGACGGGTTCTGTGCCTGCAGACAAAGGTTAGTCCTTACATCTTCAGTGTGGGAGGACTTTCTGCTTTTCCTAACCACAGAGGGGATACCCTCCTTCAGCTAAGGTGGCAATAAAAAGGGTGGCTCAGCCAGGAGCACCAAATCTACAGCATTCCCCAGAGTACCTGCTTGTTTAACTTCAGGGGGAAAATGCCTTTGGAATACAAATTATTTTATTGTACACGTACTGGCATTTTTAGACGGAAGGCAGAAAAATTCTACTAACCATGAGTAATAATCCCAAATGAATAGCTCCAATGTCAAGGCCGCTGGTTTTTCTTCACTGTTTCATTTGTTTATGGAATGAAGGATTGGGACACTGAAACCACAGCAAAGGGTGCTTGGTAAAGCAGGAACTGTAAAGCAAATGTCCTGACAAACTTTATGGCAACAGTTAACTGATACGAATTGACGGTGGTTATGAGTTTGTAATGGTAGTCTGGTTAAATAGTGTTTCTACGTATCCCCTTGTCTAGAAGCTGTGAAATTCCTGAGACCGTAGAAAACAAAAGGGAAGGCTGGATATATTTTGAATTACTTGAATATTCAATTACATATTTGAATATTTGAATACTTACCTGTGACACCTTAATGATTTCTGTTAGATCACAAGAGTTTTAGCAATTATTTAATTCCTAGAGATTGCTGCTTCTTGCTCACTTCAAGAGATAAGGAACTGAAAGAAGCATTGTCAGTAATTACTAAGAGAACCTGGGCTCCCCATCTGACGTAGTAGGCCTGTGTTGGGGAGCAGGCCTGCGCTGGTGGTGAGTACATTGGTGGTTGTTTCTGACAGTTTGGGGAGATCGCACACACTGGGTGCTTGCTATGAGTGAGCTAATAAGTTATTTCTTCATGAGTTTCAGGCCTAGAGCCCATCAGCCATATTCCCTTACAGTGAAAAAAAAAAAAAAAGATGTAGGGGCAATATCACAGATTGTTGAAATTAAAATATGCCAGGCAAAAATCCTTAACCTGTTGATCAAACTTTGTAAGTCCCTCCTCGTCTTCTACTTCTTTTTTCCTCCAGTTCTTTCTTCCATGCTGTTCTTTCAGCCAAAAAAATCTCCATATCTGTCTGTCTGTCTATGCAAGTGCATTGTTTTGTGAATCTCACTTATCTAAGAGAGTGGTTTACAGAGTTGACCTTACAGTAAGGTCTTGCCATCTTTTTTAGGGAAAGCACCGTGTTTATTTAGGGTATGTTTTGTCAACATATGGGTAAACTTCAGAGCTTCATTACATTCTTGCAAAGTTTTGGAAGTTAATATTTTTAGACTTTAGAAACAAGTTGCAGGCCTGCTAGAGTCAGTGAATGACATTTCAAAGTAAGTTGAAGTTTCTATTTGTGGTTCTAGTTGCTTATGCTGAGTAGACACAGGACTGCTTTCCCCCAAGGGCTTTCTCAGAGCAAGGCAATGAAGCCTAAGAGGCTACTTCATATCAAATCAATCAATAATGGAATAATAAAGGATTGTGTTTAACTTGTATTGGACATAAATTTTACTGTGCATGGAATGATCATAGAACTTTCCAAAATCCAAGAAACCTCAAAATGAATAGCTTTATAAACACAGAAGTACATTAAACTGTTAATGTTGTATTTCCTTTAGTTTTGTGTGCAAAACAATCTTCCCTTTGACTCGGCATTCACTGGATTGTTGCCATGATAAACAGCTTGGACCTTGACTTGATGAAAGTGTTTTCCTTAATGTGGACCTTTTATGATGAAGGACTTTGGATGCTGCTGAGGAAATGACATCGTAGAATTGATCTCCAAGTATATCACAAATCTATTATAAAATTGCTTGAATAAAAGGAAAATAGGTTAGTTACTTGCATAATAGAATGTCAATCTTAGTAATTTTATTTTGTGGAGATAGTGATACAAAAGTCAGAGTTACCTGTGTGACCAGCTTTAGGGTGATGGAATCTCCAAATCTCCACCGCTGGCCACTCTCCCCTTTGCTGCAGGGTTGTGGTGATAAGCCGCTGTCAGTATTCAGACCCACAGAACACTGTCTCATGCACAACTTCTGCATATTCTTTGCCCCAGCCACTCCCCATGGGCAACTCTTCAAAGCGCTCTTTCAGCTCCTGATGTGAAGTGAATCCTTCCCCAACCAGCCATTTTCTTCCTCGGTACCATTTTTCTAGCACTGGCTACTGTGTGAAACAACTTGTTTTTTCTAACCTCACCTTCCACTAGACTAAATTGCATGATCTCTCTCTCTCTCTCTGTCTTCCTATATTTAAGTCTATTTCACTTGCTGTATCTCTGCATTTATTTATTTATCATCTGCCTATACCTCTGAAATTTGACCACACAGTCCATATTGTGTGGTCTGTACTGATGGAAAGTGATGGGAGAATCACTCCAGCAGGAATGAACTCCGGTTTCCCCGTAGTAGCACCCTGGGGCTGAGCCCCTGGTACAGTAACCACAATGGGGCCTTTAAAGGGAGCCAGGCAATGTAGAAGAGCTTTCATTTAAACCGACCTTTCTCCAAAATTCACCCTTGATATTCACTGGTGTTGATACATTTCTAGACTTTTTTTTTTTTTCACTGCAATCAAGACCAGCCAGTAAGACAAATGCCTAAGGTTTACTAAGGATAGGATTCTTGCATCCTACATGTAATTTACAAAGTTGTAAATTAAGATGTGGCCTGTGACAGTTAATTATTTGATAGCCATAATGTCAGCAGGTTTGAAGGTTTCAGTAAAGAACCTGGCTCTTTGAGACCTGGCAGAGCTAATCAAGAAATCCTGCTGAATTTGCTGGGCTTGATTCCCTGAGAACTGGGTCATGAGCCCCTGTAGCCAGAGTCGTGGCAGCTGTACTATCTGCAAAGCTGCCTCAGAGACAGAAGATGTCCACAACTTTTTCCCACTCAGCCCAGAGCATCTTGCAAATTTGATCCCTCACCTGGATATTCATCAGCATCACACACCACAGAACAGGACCCGACCTACCCACAAACCCCACCAGGCAATGCCTGGCCCTCTTAGCCGATGACAACCAGAAAATAACTGGTACCACTTCTAATACTTGCTACCGTCTTTTAAACTACTTCCCCCAACTCCATAGTTCTTGCTTCCTAAATAAAAAGGAAGCTCCCAGGATTGCCTACCCTGAGTCATATTACCCCTTTAGCAGACTCTGCTTATTAGTCTACACCTTTGTATCCCTTTCACTCATATTCAACAAAACTCCTTTCCAACTGCAAATGCTTACCTTAGTGGGTCCATCTTTGCACAAAGCCACCTCTCCACCTTTCTTCCCTAAACCTGACACTCCCCTGAAAATATTGCTTGTCTTGTAGATATTCGCCAGAAAAAAACTACCCATTTCCTCAAACCTACTCACTCATAGCTAGAAGAAAGTCAAAATCCTCCTGACTGTCATCAACTTTCCATGATCTTATGAGCTTTCTCTACACTTCCGAGGAAGTTCAGGGGTGGCTTCCCCCTGCACTGCGGCACCTCTAGATGTACGTCGTGCTATAGGAAGGAATTTCGGATTTGCTTTTTCTGCTCATCTCCTGTGTTGGTGGGGAATACCAAATGGCTGTACC